TGTTTGAATCAAGTCATTGAGTGAAACCATAGAGAAATATAATAAACCAAGGTAAGAGTACCTGATTGATAACATGAAAGTTTGTATTGCGCTGACGTCACAGCGACGGTGGCGTCAATAGTGGCAGCCGGAACAAATACTGAAATGGCGGGAATTTTGAAATTTGACTTGAGTTGATTGCACAAAAAACTTACTTATGTTGTTCCACATCTTTTTTTCTCAAATCTGAATGAGAAAAATGATGTGGTACTCCATAAAGTTTTGTGCCATTTTTCGATGTAGATTAAAAAAAAAGGCAAAATAAACACTAATAAATTGTACTAGAAAAAATATATATTATAGCTACATAGGTCAAATACCTAAAGAGTTTACAAACACAGTTATTACATCCCTTATACATGCTTTAATGTATGTACAAGCTAAGCTGGCCAAGGCCTAACATTTACATTTTATCTCTTCTGACTGAGGTCTCCTAAAACAGTAAAAAAATATGCCGTATATCACAAAACTAACATGTATTCTTACTGGTTCAGTTTATCCTAGTTGTACATAATATTATAGGTACGCGATACCAAGTGCGTTAATAAAAATTACAATTTCTTCTTCTTGTTCTTTAGATTTTGTGAGTTCGAGTCTTCTTAGACGGCCGCCCAATCGGTTAAAAATGACAAATTTCAACACGGAAATGTCGTTATTTTAAGGTTACTTATTTGTTTTCTCGGTCACAGTTTCTATAGTTATGGATGTTTGATAGGTTTCTACAAAACAGCTAGGAAAGCTCTGTAACTCATACGGTGTCCTTGTCTTGTGAATTGGTATGACAGAGAAAGATGAAACAGAATCGAATGAACGGACTGATCTTTCGTAAGTCTCCAGCTTTCCAAAAATTCCGCAATGCGCTATGCGCAACCGGATGCGCAGTAATAGTATAACCTATTTCGGCTATACTTTTGAAGGTCTTTTTATTTTTTATTGTCTATGAGTGAAACTTCTTAGGCGGCGTTCTGATATTTGGATGACAATAGTTGTATTCCTTTCAAGAATTTGGAACACTCGAGCTACTCGCTCCGGTGTTAGTCGACCCCGATTTTAAAGGAAAAGATACGGGGTGCAACAAACACTTTTCGAAAGGAATAAGCGCGTTGTGCCCCGGAGCTGTTCCGGAGCTTCTCTTAGGTGTGAAAGGAATGCAACTAATGTAGAGTGATTTGAAAAACGCGTTACGAGGAAATTTCGTTACTCGAGAGAAAAGAAAGATAATCCTAAAGAGACGGAGAAAGATAGCTATTGATTGATACAAACCAAAGATTATAAGCGTAAAAAGGATTGCCTATTATTGACCAGCGCCTATGTGGCCAACATTTTTACCAACTACTCAATGGTCCAGTGCCTAGAGTGTTGGATTTTGGTGTGATAGTCCGAGTGCTCGGTTCTCCAGCCAGACTAGACTTTTTTTAAAATCGATCGATAACGAGACGGTGACGACGACGCCCGATGACGAGACGCCGACGCCCGATGACGAGACGCGACGACGCCCCGAATGGACGATAACTACGGTTTGAAGATGACACCATGAGATAAGGAGCTACGTTCAAATTCCGGAAAAACCGCCAAAAATTTGGGGTTGGCCCGGGTCAAATCCCCGAAATTTCAGATCAAAGGCGCCGCCGATCTAGAGATTTTCCCACGGTATCGAAAAAGTTCCCAGGCTCAGGTGCCCCCGTTACTACTACCAGATAACACAATGTGCGTCAATGTGCTTGAAAAGTTCCGGCCGACTTTAGAGAAAATAGTATTTCAATGGTAATGCTTTGGAAATATGCTAAAAGTGCGTATAATAAAACAAACCAAATCAAAATAAGCTAGCAGCATCGAAGAAATGCTCCTATTTCAACTTTTAAATTGAATGATCTGTAATGTGCAGGAGAACCACTGCAAAACCGCATAATTTTAGTGTGCGAATTAGCGGTACGCTAACAGCACTTCCTGAACACTTACCAAGGTAGGTACCGAAAGAATAGAGTCTGCTCTGAGTGCTCTCTGCGCTGCCTGAGAGCCTGCAGTCGGCAGTGATTGATTATAGGTTTAGAGATACTCCGATCGTGCAGGTGGTGCACCACAGAGGTCAAAGAGCGACAAGAAGCAGTGATGCCAGGTCTGGTGAAATTTCACCAGATCTGGTGATTTCATGCATAATCTGGTGATTGGTGAAAAACTTTTTGAAAAATGGCAATTTCTGGTGATTTTGAAATTTCATCGATTTGAATATCTTTTACAATTTTCAAGAAATAGTAAACGACAAACGCTTGACAGTGAACGTTCAACACGTTCCCAACCGCGACCGCTACCGCTAGGTTGCAGCGCTACGTCCGCTGAATGCAACAAATGTTGCCAGTTGCCAGGCGTGTAAGTAGGTATTTTTATTCCCATGATTCGCTAACCTGTTTTTTTTTCGGTGATTCCCCTAAATTTGAAAAATATACTTTTTTCATTCCTGATCTGAGGTGTAATTCTGTAACGGATAGAGATCGTTAATCGTTATCGATATCGCAATGGCACTTGCTGTCTTCTTCTCTCGTTTCAAAATCAATAGAGAGGGGATCGCAATTAATAGAGATAGCGAAAATATCTCTATTTGTTACAGAATTTCAGCCCTGGGTAGTGGGTACCTATTTAAACTTAAAAGTAATTCGAAACCATACGATCATAATCAGGCCAATCAGGGAAAGTTGTTCAATTTTTACCTTTGGGTACCAATAAAATGATAATTTTCTACCTTATCAAGAAATTTATACTTAGTGAATTGTGTTTTATTAAATACTTCAATTATTATCAAGTTGTATTAAAAACGCATTTTTTCGTTTACAACTCGTATTAGCCTGAAAAATCAACTTTCAAGATTTCTGGTGATTTTTTTTTAAATCTGGTGATTTTTCATTCCAATTTTTGGTGAATTTAATTTTTTTGACCTGGCAACACTGACAAGAAGGCAAGCAGAAGCAAGGAAGCCTGAGCCGAAGCTGCCGGCTGCCGCCATTGCGCCATTTTTAATGTTTGCATTTTTGGGCATTTAGTTTCGTACGTGTTTGGGTTCTGTGCGTGTTTTCGGTTTCACTGGAAGAATAATGAGTTCCAAAGGGTAAGTGAGTGATGATTATCAAATATTAGTTATGGGTTAATCCAAATTATTTCGTTCTGCGCTGTATGTGGTGCTTGTAGGTGGTAATGCATGCGTGGTGGGTGTGTTTGTGTTTTCACTGTTTATTTAACGAAATTCTGCAAAATCGTATCAATTTTTTTAGGGCCTATTCGACAAGATATTATTGCAAAATAAGTTCACTTTATTAGATGAACCTTTCTCCCTTTAGGTAGGTACCCGACGAAGCTGCCAAATTTGAAATCTGTCATTTCAAATTTTCCATTTCCAAAACGACTCCGATATGTATGAATTAATAAGTCTTTAATTGGGCATCTTATTTTCTCATTTGAGCCACGTACCCCCTGTACTTTAATAGTTTCCAAAAACCCCATTAAACTCATTTTATTTGGTGCCCTCTGTGTCTCGTATAGGAGATTTTAATTTAAGTATGATTTCTTTTTCAGGTAGGTACCAGGAAAAGCGAAGAAGAATTATTTAGAAGAAATGAATATGTTTTATTTTATTTTTTATTTATGTTTCCTATGTTTATTTATTAAAAGATCATAATTTCAAAATGTTTGTTTTTTATTTGCAATGGGCTATCAGTGAAATAAAAAATGTACTCAAAAAATACTTCAATGAAGTACTTTAAGAGTACAATATAAATTTACCAAAAAAAGATGTTCTAGTGGTGCTTTTTCTCTGTCGGAGAAGTGCTTTTATGTAGCATTTCACGAATACTTCCAACGTACGCTTGGAGCACTTAGAGCACTCCATGTTGGAAGTGCGCAATTGCAGTGCTTCTACGATTGCGCCTTTTTTTTATTGGCCGGCTGGACATCCCAGAAGCGGCTGAGTGGTTTTCACAAGTACTGCTCAGGCACGCAAATGTGAAAATACAGTACAATTGAAGTACTTTTCAGGTAGTTTTGTGTTATCTGGGACTATTGTGATGTCACGTTACTATAGTCCAACACATACCATTTTAAAGTCACGTGATTTTTCTCTATCCTTGTTGAATACATCTCAAACAGCGGTGATAGTAAAATTGACAAAAAAATTGCTGTCTAATTATTGTTCATAAAATTCTTACCTGAAATAGAATCCGTCACTGTCATCAATTAGTTTGTCAAAGTTATTTTAGAAAATGATACAACGAACAAACACAGCTAATAATTTTGACTATTTAAAACTTTTTCCAACTCAAAAAGATGCAAATAGAAAACGGGTACCCAATTCAAGTTCAGAATGTATTACAAGGGGCAGCAGAAGCGACAAAAGTGAGTTCCGCAACAATTGGACCCCGTTATGCAATAGGGGACCAACTAACAAAAACATGTTTCTGAGTAAAAAAATAAAAATAGTACTTTAGCTCTTACTTAAAACAAGAGCAACTATGAATGAAAAGAAGCTGTTTTTTTTTGTAGCATTTTATTTACTTGTGAGTATATCAAGGCAACACTAGAAAAATAAACAGAAAATTTTCAATATAACAAGAAAAAAAACACTTGGTTCCTTATTGCAAAATATTTTTTTTTGAGAATCAGTCTTCTTCTATTTCGAAATCTAGATTTGCATTATATCCCTCTAGATCTTCCTCGATTGTATCATCACCAATAAGGTTAACATAAAATGGATGGTCCGCCAGAGAATTAAGTGTAGGTAGCTCTTTATATCTTTGAGTTTAGCTTCTGCTATAGGCTTTCCGTCAGGCCAAAGAGGTGTTAAATGTCTAGAAAAAAGTGTTTTCTGTGGTTTTCCTTTTCCTTTTTTAATATTTATTTCTTTATAGTCGTCGGAGTCTTCATAATTTGTTTTGATGAAAATACTATAGGGACTTTCTTTTAAAATCTTTATCTCTTTAATTTTCAACCAGTTGATCTTCTCCTCTTCGCAGCTTTTTTTTTCTGTTAATGATTTCTTTTTCGAGCATCTTGGTGCTCACAAAGTTTTTCTTTTCCATAGATACAACCTCAATGGGATGCTTCCTTCTGCAGGATTTCATAACCTGGATGTAATCCTCAGGCGAATACATTTTAGTTTGCCTTTTGAGAACGCATTCTACATCCCCAAAATCACTGTGATTGGGCAGAAAACTATGTCCCGATACTAAAAAGCGCAGCTCTATACTTTTGAGGTGTGTAGATACTTCAACAGCACATTTTAACAGAAGCACCATTTTGATATTGCGGTTTTGTCCTCCGCAGGAGTCGCTCCATAATATCAGGTTCTTAACGGTTTTTGAGATATTATTTGCAATATATAGAAGCAAACAAGAACCCACTTCTTGGGCACCGTGACCCGCTTGTCCTTCAAGCCACAAGTTAAAAGTAGACTTTGTTTCTTTTCCTGCAAATATCCCGCAGTTATAAAGCCACAGCTGCCTTTTATAAAATATAATGTTTGTACTAATACGTGGTAGCGGGAGTGTTTTTTCCATGTCAAAGGTCAGTGTTTCTATTTCATTGTTATTGATTGCTTTCTCGATGTCACTATTCATCTTACTTCTAGCTTTCTCTGCTTCCGCCAAATGGACGCTATGCTCCAAACTGATTTTTTCTCCGAATGACAGTAAAAGCGGCCTTTTAATGACACTTGATAGGATCAAAAGTTGTATTTTTACTGCCTAGGCAGTAAAAGTGGACTTTTACTGCCTAGGCATTAAAAGTGACAGTGTCACAACGATCCAGGTAATAATTTCACTCAATTTGGTATTTGAAATTGATGGTGACAATGACAATTGTCAAAATAATTTAATTATTTGGATAATAATAATGGATGAAATAAATATAAAAAAGATGTCCATGTGTGAATTTGAACATGGAGAAAAAATTATATGTTTTACATGGCAGAAAAGCAGATTTAATGCCTCGGCTGGTTTCCTAACCTCGGCTATGAAACACCAGCCTCGGCATTAAATCTTGTACTTTTCTGCCTAGTAAAACAAATAACTATTATCTTTCTCCTCTCCGGCAGGTAAATTTTTTATTTTGATGTCAAAAGTGTCGCACTTATTGCAGGTATCTTTCTTAGGCTTTTTGACTTTTAAATTAAAATCACGTAAAAAGATTTTTTTGTAAGAGGAGAAGCTGACTGGATTATTTACATTTTCATCTTTGTAAAACTTGTACATAACTGTAAGTGTCGTTCCTTCTGTTAGGTATTCCTGTTTGTCTTTCTTCATTCTGCAGTAGTGAGACTTATAGCGGGGAAATTTATTAATGTGACTGATAACCGAATTTTTTTGCTCATCAGAAATTTTGTTGTGACCACCAGCAACACATCGGAAGTCAAGTGTTGATAATTTCCTTATCTTGCAAAGTGATGTATTAATGCGTTTAGTTGAGATTTGGAGAGTTTTAACAAACATATTTCTACAAACAAGATGTTTGTTGATAAAGTATTGTCTGGAAAATTGTCGCTTTTCTGGATTTCTGGCAGCAGTATGTGCCCGTTTTTTCTTTTCTTCCCTAACACATGTCGATAAGTAGGTTGTTTGAACGTTATAGTCTCCCAAGTTCCAATAGTGGTCAAAAAACTGCCTTCTCTCTTCAATAGATACTTTTTGGTGACATTCCATGGAACATGGACATATATATTCAACAAATTCTTTTGGATGAACCAGTTTTCCTTTAGCTGAATAATATTGCTTATTACTGTTTGTCAGTTTCTTCCTTTTTGCTCTATCCTGTCCTTCATGTTTTATTTTTCTTCCCTTTTTCGGACGGCCCTTATATTTTTCCACTATAGTGATATTGGTATTATTTGTTTCTGCTTCTGTAATTTCTGGTAATGGCACCTCTTGCTGATCGAAATCACTATCGACGGAGGATTCATCTGAAGCGGTTGGACCTTAGTCCTTGTACTTGACAGAATCGTCGGAGTCTTCGAACTCTTCAATATCATCAATATTGTGTTTTAAATGATCATTATCACTAAATTTATCACAACTGTTTTGTAGTTCGGAGTTTGTGTCTTCACGCTTTTCTAGACCCTGTAAGAAATATATATATATTATAATAATTACCAAACAAACCCAAGCATAGTTATTTGTTTAACTAGACAAAATAAAAGATATAGCTGAAACTAGCAATAGGGAACCAACTGCATTTTTGATAAAATAATAGATCTAATCAAAATATGTAATAAGTTCCTACATTGATTATTATATTTATTAAGAGTAGTCAATTATAAACAATGTTTATTCTTTTTCCACCTAAATAACGATCAAATACGTATTTTTTATATAAAAACAATAATAATTAAATTTTGAGGTTATGATATTATTATTTATTTACACATAATATAATGAATAAAACAGATCATGATAATTTAATTCAACTTACCGAAGTGCCTGGAATATCTGACGACATTGCCATAGCTTTTTCTACCATTAATATTGTTCTTTTGGAATACATAACGACTACTAACATTCACCACCAACAGACCTTCGCTACCTAAGCTGCAATAGTGAAATAACATATTTTGCAAAAAGGTTCCAAGGAACATTGGTTCCCCAATATTGAAGAAGTTTTAACTGGCATCTTGCAATCAAGAACCAAGCATACTTGGATCTTCGTTGAAAATCACAAAGCCCCCATTTTGGATTTTTCAGGTGGTTCTTTGAATCAATAGATGGCGCTACAAGTGATTTATACCTTGGTTCTGTATTGCGAAATGTGAGAAACCATATTAAAGTTTGAAAGAAGGGACTAACTCATTTTTAACCAAAATGTTGTTTGGTCCCCTATTGCATAGTCTAATTGCAAGTATTAAAATTCTCATCTGATTGGTCAATACTACTTCAGTTTGTTAAATGCTAGTGGGAACATATCTTAAAATTCAATAGTAATTAACAATGACCTATTAACACAGATAGACAGAACAATAAACAATAATATCGGTTGATTACATGCCAGGAACCGCATCTCTCCCCACTACTTATTAATCCTTGTGTTATTTTGTATCTTTCTCTAACACGTAGAAAGCGATTATTTTTCAATGAAAATTAGCAACGTTGCAAAAAAATAAATCCCACCTCGAATTCCACCTTTCTACCAATCAGCGGCTTCTATTCAATTGTCATGTCAAAATGCGAGGAGCAGGTATTTTATGACAATTTCAATTTGTCAATCAGTGCGCAGTGAGTGTATCCGCATCTTTTTCTAAAATTATGTAAAATATAAGGATAAAGATACACTTTTGTAGCACTAATTCTGGTTTCATTTTTAGAGTTGCCAAGTATGCGATAGTAAAATGGGGGCGGAGTTAGCGGAATCATTTGAATCCCTACTCCTAGCCGCTTTCACAGCTCACCCCCCCTGGCCCATAAACATGTAGTCAACCAAAACAAAGCTATTTTATCAATGGGATGTTCTGTCTATCTGTGTTAATAGGTCATTGGTAATTAACCACAAGTAGCTTTTTGTAGGTGATATCAACGACATAATCAACGAACATACGTTTTTTGCCACCAATATCACGTGACTTTAAAATGGTATTTGTCGGACTTTATAGATGCGCGTCTCCCTTTGACCTTTATTATACTATTATTATCATTGCGTTTTGTGATTATTTCCGTTATTTATACATTAAATATTTGTGTCCTGTGCTTTTTTTATTTATTTAAATAACTTCAAAAATAAAGAAATTACGACAGTTTAAACTGTTATCATGATAAAAAGAGCACACTGTACTGTTGTAGGTATTTCTTTCGAAATTCTCTCTCTTCTCCTCTCTCGCACCTTCAATCTCCCTTATTCGGTTTTTAAGAAGTTTCACTTCTACCACGTGTACGGCGCTTCACATGTTTTTTTTTTTTTTTCGGGCGCAATCAACCTGTAGAATGGCGGGAATTTCGAATTTGCTTAATTTCTAGTTTCTTGATATAAATTTGTTTCATTTCTACGATTTGATATCCCGAAAAAAGTATTAAATTGCAGAGGTGAAAACATCACATAACTTTCCCAATCACCTAGAAAGATTTATTTTTTTGAAAGCTCAAAATAACCATTTTTGGGCGTGGCACCCGGAAAAATTTTCGGGCATACATTCAACTTCTTAAATTAGTAATTTATACCGATATAACAAACCACGCGCCGCCACTGCCTGTATCCCTAATAACACCGATCTCCCAGAAACATCCTATTTATGTACCATTAAGGTCCTTATGTTTCCGACATAAATGGTACATCGCTGCGATGTTTGTAATGTAACATCTCTAGGATGATTGTCCTGAAATGTTTTAGAAACATCCTTTCGAAAATATCTATCGACAAAAAGATTTTTCGTTCTCAAAATTAGATACTTATTACAGCTGAAAAATGCCTAACATTATTTTACAAAACTAGGTAGGACCTCAGACCGGCAGGACCCAGTATTAAATTAGCCAATTTTGTGTGATTTCTGAAAATGTCTCTATCACACACACAAACTAATTTCAAATTCCATAATATACCTGTAATGTATATAGATAAGGTACTTAATATTAATTTTGTATTGTAACAACAGCAAAATTTAATTTTTCATTCGACTTACAACTTGGAATAAAATAAAATATGTATTGATAAAAGTCTTCTCTCTTTTCAACTTTCAAACATCGTGAATATTCGTGAAGCCGAAGTGTATGGCGCAGGCGCGTGCTCAGGCATTTGTACTTGTACCGGTCAGGACAGGAGGGCACGCCACCACGTAGGGTCGGCGCCGCAGCCAGCGCAGACGGGCAGAATCAGTCGAACGGGTCGTCCTGTGCGCTTCGCTTGTGTTGTTGGGCGGAATTTTATTTCGTAATGGCGTCGTGCTGTGTGGAGGATTTGTCAATTTGTGGTTTTTCGCTACACCTAGTTGTGCCATTTTGTGTTCGAAAGGATCTCTGTGACCTACCAGTGCTTATTAGTTGGTGAGAAAGATTATTTGTTGAAAGATAACGTCGCATAACTATCAATTGTTTAGTTTATTTAATTTCAATATGGCGTCGGTTAGGAAATTTCTAACTTTTCTAATAAATAGCCCCTAAAAACCCGAACTTCATTCTTCATTAGGTAAGAGAAAATAACCAATAATTATTTTTTGTTTTCATAGTTGATTACATTCTAGGTGTGCAAGTTGAATTGTACTTCAAGAACTTTGGATTTTGGTTCTGTGGTTGTTTTGGTTAGTTAATGGTACCTTTATGAAATTGGAGCACCAAAAAAAAAAGAAAACGCCGAACTCCCCCACTACAACATGCTGCCACTGCCAAACTATGGTTTTCGATGACATGACGGGGCATAAATACTACATTATTTAGGCAAAATTGTCCGTCGGTTATTATTAGTTGATAGATAATCAATATAAGTATGCATGTACCTTATTTTTTCAATAAAAAATGTTATTGGAAACTGATGTGCCTACTTAATTTTATAATTTTCAATTTTTGTTTTTTTTTTGGAAAAAGTTCTATCTGACTTCCAGAAAATAGAACGAAAATTGAAAATTATTGAATTAGGTAATTTTTAATCCATAATCCTAAAATTCTTTCACCTATTAAAGTCATACTAGAAACATATAGAGGATGTTTCTTACACCTGCCCCGGATGTATTAGGTACATCCCGCGTCATCTTAGAAACATCCCTGAGAGATGTTTATAGGACATCGCAAATGATGACACGGCTGTTGCCTGCAACATCCCAGGGATGTCCCCAGGAAAATAGGGACCTCCCAGGGACGTCTTCATTATCCCTGATGGATGTTTCTGGAATGTTTCTACGATGTTACTGTGTTATTAGGGATGCACCCCCCTGAAACTAATCCTGGCGGCGCCCATGATTGGTAGGTATCCAACATTGGTTCCACTGCTTCTTTTTTATGTAAGCGTGAACTAACTTTTGTTAAAATTTGTAAAGCACAGTTTAATTTTCTAATTGATCTCTTCGCAAAACCTAACTGGATGCTGGATGTGACTTCTTATGGATGTTTAAATTTGAAATGTATAAATTATATGAAAATCCTGTAGGTATTCTTGTTTAGCTTAAGCTAAGTAGGAATTCCTCCAGTTAGGTACCTTATATTACAAGTATTAGCAAATAAAGAACAAAAACTATTTTTTTTCTTATTAAAATATATACTTATGATTTATTTTATTCAATTTTTCCAATAATATACAAATTATTTAACAGTTTTTTTTCAAAATGTACACAACGCTTATCATGTAGGTACGTACTTACAATAGGCATTTAGAAAACTTTCTATTATGTACAACCAAGTACAACAATGATAACTAAACCTAAATTGTTAATTATAAAAAAAGGCACAAACATACGTTTTTCAAAAAAAATTATAATAATACAATCTAGTTTTTTAGTCTATGTGAAAGTATACAAGTATTATGTCATTAGTTCAAGTTTGCACCACAAAGATATCGATAAATACTTTGTAGAAATAAATAAAAAGGAAAGTTCATTTTGTTAACTGGAAAGTCCACCAATGTGGCAAGAACTTTTTACAAGCCAATGCATATTGATTAAAATTAATTCAGATTTAGAAAGCCGTTCGTAATGCTGTCAAAAATTTTTCTTATAGAATTGTTTTATAAATAGTCATTAAAAATACACAAGGCCGGATTTCTCGAAGGGCACAAAGGCTCGCCTAGCCTAAATTTTAAAAAAATCATTGTACTTTCATAAACAACCCTTAATCAATGCCCTAAGATGACCTGAATCCGGCTTAGAAAATACTCCATACTTAGAAATCAAACAATTTTTTTTTTTGTACTAAACCAAACTACTAGCACCAAGACAATCCCCCTCGATTTGCCCACTCAAACTAGGCGAATTTCCTTTGGAACTACCATACACCTTTGTCGAATACCCCGAATCGTTATTAGTGTCTCTGTCAACAGTATCATGGGGGTTCTCCAGAACCCGATTCGCGATAAAATTCGGATCTAGCATTCTAGAAGAACCCTCAATGGGGTTTTTTGAGTCCGGATAACCTTTGGAACTGCTCTCTATGACGCGCAACTTTGCTAAACGAGCACTCATGGAGTGATCATAGAATTTGCTAGTGTTTGGCAGTTGATCTTCTTCGTAGTAGTGATGGTGATAAGTGGTATCGTTATAACGCATTTCTGGTTGGTACGGATTCATGGGGTCGTATTTGCTAGTACTAGCTTGATGGTATTGGTTATACCTAAAGAAAAATATATTTTTAGTAACAAAACTATATATATAAACGTGCACAGTATAGGTACCTTATGGCTGAAGGCTCTTGGATTTTTACTATAGGTTCTATATAATGTGTAGAAGAGTCCACCATGCTAGGATCGCCTGTAGGACTATAAAGGCCGCTCCTGCTTCTTGGTGCAGCTTCGTTTGGCACATTTTCATAGTGTCCAAGACGAATTGGTCCAGGTGATTGACCCAAAGGCACCTAAAAACATTGTTTCTTAGTAAATTGCGTCCAAAGTTACCTATTCATCACCAGTGAAACCATTTTTGAACCGACTCCTGGACATAATTGCAGAAGTTGGTTCACAAATTGTTTCGCTAGCAGTTTTAGTATCATGCCAATTTGCCTAATATTAATTTATGTAATAAGGTATACCTGGATAAGATTAGTGTCTCCCATTGGGCCTTTTCTAGATGGCATCCTTAAGGGACCATCTTCATCGTCGCTACTTTCGCTGTGAGCTCCTTCGTTGTAGCTGGCATTGTGTTGCTGTTGTTCCTGGATTCTAGCCACTAGTTCTTTGACCGAAGGGCGTGGTCCTCCTTGGGGGTCTTCGTCACGGGGATCTAGTTCATCCATGCTCCTGGAAAAAAATCAGGAATTGTAATTAAACTATAAACTATTTAATTCTATACGAAGGAAAAGAGGCTGTATGCATGTGTCGGAAATAGTCGAGATAAGGGAGGAAACAATGTGTGTTTCCTTCCTGGATTAATTTAATGGAAAACCATTCACATGAGCTGATTTTGGTTTTGCCAAAAGGACGATCTTCTATATGTATCTATAACCAGTAACTTCATGTTTTGATGTCCGAATAGCACAAGCTATAGATTGCAAATTTTCGTCCCAAGTACGGTGATCATTCTGATTATTATAGGAACTAATCGTGGTTTTTACTACTTGGTTTACCTTTTCCACAGTATCTGCCTTGGGATTCGAATAAGCAGTATGGACAATTTTGACCTGGTATTTCTCATAGAGACCTTAAAATTCTTTGGATTTCATGAGAGTACCATTGTCACACATAAGAAATTGAGGCGACCCATAAGTTAGAAAAACACTCTCTTCGACGTTTCTAGATAAAATTTTGGCAAATGCAGCCCTACAAAGAAAAATAAGAACAAATTTGCTAAAGAACTCAGAAACGAAAAGGTTCTTTAACAACTGGACGATATCCCATTAATCCAGGCGCTGGTTTTTGTTCAACCTCTTGCTGCGCACACACCCTACATGAACGACCATAATTGACCACATCTGTTTTCATTTTGGGGCCAGTAAAAACGATTATGAATCCTCCAAGAGGGTTTGAAAGCACCAACATGTCCTTAAGCTGGTATCATGACAACGTTCAAGAATTTCTTTGCGCCTATCTTTAGGGACTACTACATTCCAATCGTCATTGCTCTGAGATGGTGAAATGGAAAATTTGAAAAGGATATCATTCTCGATTTTCCAGGTAGAAAACTTCGTCAGGTTGTCATTTAGCTTCTCAAACATTTGCAAATACCACTTGTCAGTGGTGTTGGAGAATGAAGTTAGAAAATTATCGGTGTCAATAGTTTCAATGATAAGAACAGAACGAGACAAAAAATCTGACATAATATGGTCTTTTCCTTCTCTATGAATCAATTCATTCAAAATCGTGGGTTGAAGACGTAAAGCCCAACGCGCTAAGCGCCCTTGAGGATCTATTAATTGAGAAAGCCAAAGTAAAGAATGATGGTCGGTAATGACCTTAAAATGAGTGTGTTCCAGATAATGCCTCAATTTCCCTATACTCCAAATAACAGCCAGACACTCCTTTTCTGTCACTGTATATTTCTGTCCCTGTTTGGTCAATGAGCGTGGAAGATAGCTTATGACCTTTTCCCTTCCATCAAATTCCTGAGTGGAAACAGCACCAATGCCATAAGAAGAAGCATCGGTCTGCAGAGAGAAAGTACGATCGAAATCAGGGCGTCAAAACAAAAGCGGTAACTAAGTGTTCTTTGATCACATTCAGGGTTCCATGCCCACTTCACATTTTTAGTTAGAGTCGTTAATGGAGATATAATACTGGAAAAATTAGGAACGAAACGTCTGTACCATGAAGCAGTACCTAAAAATCGACTTATTTCATTGATCTTCTTAGGTGTAGGAATAGTGACAATAGCCTCGACCTTATCAAGATCTGGTCCTAAACTATCACGATCGACAACGTACCCAAGGTAATTAAGCTGCGACCGACAAAATTTGCATTTCTCAAGAGAGAGAACGAGACCTGCTTCTCGAAGCCTATCAAGCATAAGTCGAAGGAAACGAATATCTTCGTCAAATGTTTCACTTATCAGAATGATGTCGTCCAGATAAACCATCACTTTATTTTGGAGATCCGTTCCGAAAGCATTATCTACAATGCGCTGCCAAGTTGCTGGAGCATTGGTTAATCCAAAAGGCATCCTGCAGAACTGTAATAATCCTCATCCAGGCACAGTGAAGGCATTAATAAGTTCACGTAACTCAGAACTAAGTGGTACTTGCCAAAAGGCAGATTTTATATCTATGCTATTTAGATATCGGGCATTACGTAAATTGTCAAGGATCGAATTGATATAAGGAATTGGGTAACTGTCCTTTTTAACCCTAGGGCAGGCGCGCATTTGAAAATCACATTTATAGCGGGCGCGCTGAGGCAGAAAAACATACAAAATAATTCAAAACATCAAAATTTATTCCTAAATAGAGGTAAAAAAATTAAATAAATTGTAATTCTAGGCAACTAAATGAAATCCTTTATACTAATTTCGCAAAAACACAAAAATAATATTTATAATATTTGTACTAATCTCCTTGTAATTTTACTTACATGATCAGGCGCGCTGGCGGCACGGAATGCCGAAAACTCGACACCTGCAAGTTCAAGAACTCACTGACATCTGAACAAGCGCTCTAAGGTCATAAATTGTGCGTAGTAGGTTTGCTGATATAGTTGTTACTGTAAATGCCCGAAATTCGGTAAAATCTAGGATAAGCGCGCTAAACCTAGGATTTACCAAAAACAAGTGGTAAAAGCCCGAAAACTAGGTATTTTGCTTTCATTTCGGACTTTTACCGGACACAAACAGTAAATCTTAGGATTTACCACACCGCATTGGTAAAAGTACGAATACCACTGATACGTTAAAGAAATCGATATCGTGAAACGATAATCGTTAAGAAAATTAAGAAAATTTCTTGTGTCCTGGAGATTTTCCATCTCAGGAAATTAGCGTAAGAAGTGCAGTGCGAAAATTGTCGTTATGTAGTTGCAAATGATTTAAGAAATGCAATTGTATTCGAAAATGTTCCACCAAAAGATGTTTATTCAGATCCTCTAAATACTCTGCAATTCTAAATGCCATGGAAGTTTGCCCTGTACCAATAAATAAAATTTCTATTAGTGGACATTTTTAATCCATTTATTTCAATTAAAAAAATGGTTTTGACATTTAAGTACCTATAGTTTTTCGAAAGTCAATTGGAACAAGGTGAACATAACTCATAACTGGTGGCTGACTAAAGGCAGTGCATTTCCTATAGAAATATCCAGTGCCCAGTCAGCTACCAGTTGGTATCTTGTTTTAACTGAGTTTGAAAATACTATACCTACTTTTTGCAATATTAGGTTTGTTCGGACATATATGAACAAATGCGCAAGCGCAGTTCAATACAGAACTAATTCTGAACCAAGTCCGAACAAAACTATTATTAGTAGGTACTTGAATTATTGTTTTTTTTTAAATATCTCGTTTAAGGCCACTATGATTTCTGTTTACATTTAAGAATATTAAAACAAAAAGTGTTTCGGTGTGACTTTTTGTTTCATTTATAAAGTATCTTATTTTTAGACATTGAAATTTTAACGATTATCGTTTCACGATATCGATTTCTGTAACGTATCAGTGGTATTCGTACTTTTACCAATGCGTTATGGTAAATCCTAAGATTTACTGTTTGTGTCCGGTAAAAGTCCGAAATGGAAGTAAAATAACTAGTTTTCGGGCTTTTACCACTTGCTTCTTGTAAATCCTAGGTTTAGCGCGCTTATCCTAGGTTTTACCGAATTTCGGGCATTAACAGTAACATAGTCATTTGAACATAGTTAGACAGACAATATGATAAAATCCACAATATTTGCGGAATCCTTGAATTAGTGAAAAGGCGGCATAAAAGGCCGATAGCGCGCCTGCCCGAGGGTTAATGTACTTGTTGAGAATTCTGAAGTCCAAGCAAACTCTATAAGTATTGTCTTTTTTACGAGCTAGACATGTGTAGACCAAGGACTTTTCGAAAGTTCAACTACACCAAGACTTAACATTTCGTCTAAAGCTTCGTTGATAATGTTTTGCTTGTACGGACAAACTGGGTAATACCGTTGTTTGATAGGTTTGGTACCAGGTTTTAACTCAATTACATGTTCTGCAGCTTTGCAACAACCCAATCCAGTTCCCATTAATGGTAATTTGGACTTCACTGAAATATTGAGCTCTGACATCTGACCGCTCGTAACAGTTGATTCATCTTGGATAATCAAATAGAAGGTGGCAACTGATCGTCTTTAGTAAAATGTCAAATATCCTGATGCAAATCTGGTATACCCATAGAGGTCCAAAAGTCGACACCCAAAATTAATTTATGAGATAGATCACGCAATACCAAAATATCGAACATCTTAGTTTTATGTTTTAAAGTCAGAGGAACCTGAACATAGCCTATGCTGGAACAAGATTGACCATTGGTTACAGTATATGTGACAGTTTGTCTTATCAATTTAGGGCCAAGCAAACCAACGATAGTCCTAGAAGCTCCACTGTCCAATACACCCAATATTGGAAAACCAAGAATAGACAATTCAAGAAATGGATGCTGGTCGCCTTGTGCATGGGAGAAAATTAAATCTGAAACCAATTTATTTGAAACAGCCAAGGATTTTTTAGTGGGGGTCATCAGATGGCCTAATTTCGATTTCCCCGGAATCCGTTTCCCGAACAATCAGGACAATTATTATGGACTGTAGTACCCAAGTTACCAGTTTTAAGGCCGCGTTACTGGCCGCCATGTTTAAATTTAGTTTTTGAAAATGACGACTGCGTCACTCTACACATAGGGTTCAATATTTTATTATTTGTCCAAAACAAAATCTGTTTGTCGGTGAAACACTTAGTGACACAGGAAGACAAATATACAAATATGATGCTCCCAATGTAGCTTTTTTGCCGTGGCGCCATCTCGAGTGCGATAATCACATGAGTGAAAAAAGGAGCGTTACGCACGTATTGCATACAAATTTTTTTCTACTACAACTTAAATATGTTTAAAAAATAGATTTAGACAAATACTTCACGCACTAGTGCGTGAAGTATTTTCACTTTACACACTAGTGCGTGAAGTAATTTACCAGGAAAATACTAAATTGACAGTTTTCAACATCTGTCATTGACATTACTTTACGCGCTAGTGTGTGAAGTGGAATTTTACATCTTCTGAATAGTGCGTAGAGTGAGTACTTTACGCACAGTAGTAGAAAAACATTATTTGATATATTATCTACAATCTCTACAAATA